GGGCGTGGGGCGAGCCCCGGAGAGCCGGCTTGGCGGCAGGGTGCGTGCGGACCGCAGCCCCGGGGAGTGGGCGCCTGGCGCCTTCCTAGAGCCGTGCTCGCTCCCACGCTTTCTGGCTGCGCGACTGTGTCCTCAGCCGTAACTTTGGAAATAATACGCCCGCTCGTAAGGTGGTCCGGCACTCATTAGGTGGCGCGTGGGAGGCACTCCGCTGGCGCCTGGAAACGCGGCCAGGCTTCCAGACGACCGGCGGACTGAACTGTAACTTAGGTAGTCCTGGCGCGGCTCGCTTTAAAGGAGCCTGCGCGCGCTCGGGCGTCGCCCTGGCCCGTGGCGCGGCGGCTGGAGCGCCCTCCCCAGCGCGGGAGGTCCGGGGGCTGATTCCCATCAGGACACACCGGGGCTGCGGGGTCATCCCAGTGGGGGCGTGGGTGTGCGGGAAGCAAGGATCCGTGTTCCTCACCTCCCTCTGCCCCCCTCTTCCCCCCCCTCCTCCCTCTCTTTCTAAAATCAATGAAAAGCTATGCTTAGGTGAGGATTTTTAAAAAATGGACATACATAAATTGTGTTTTGCTGACTTAATCTTTTTTAGGAAACAGATGAACAACTAACTTGTTAAATTATTTTCCTTTGCAACATTTGGAATTTCTTTGGGATCATATATTTTAATCCAGTACCTTGGTTAATGGGGCAGGTTGAGGGTCTTTTAAAATATGTTTTTATTGACTTTTAGAGAGGGAGGGAGAGGGAGAGAAGGAAACATCGATTGTTTGCAGTCTGTGTGCACCCCGGCTGGGGATTGAACCTGCAACCTGGCATGTACCCTCCCTGGGAATCGTACCAGTAACCCTTCGGTGCACTGGGCAACAATCAACCAACTGAGCCACACCAGCCCGAGGCAGGGGTTCTTTTATTGTAGAAAACACAGACTCTGGAAAAAACCCAACACATTTGTGCTATTGGAAGGGCCTTTGTTGTAATCCTTTTCTGGGTTGTAGATTGATTAGGGATCTGGTAGAAACACTAGAATGATAGTTACTGTGCGCTGATATATGACATATGCTCTGTCATTTAGCAGAGAAGGAGTACTGTTTTCGTCCCATTTTTACAGGTGAAGAATTGAGGCTTGGCGAAGTTGACCAGTGTGTCCAACGTTGGAAAATGTAAGGACAAAAACAAAGTTAAGGGGGGGACTGGGTATGTAGAATGCGCCAGGAAGAGGACAGGAGGGGACTGGGGTGCTAGAGAACAGCAGAGTGAAGGGAGGTTTTCTCATTAAGGCCTGGAGTTTCCTACTGGGAGAGAAGGGCAGTTGTCTTTTTTATTTTATTTTNAGAGTGAAGGGAGGTTTTCTCATTAAGGCCTGGAGTTTCCTACTGGGAGAGAAGGGCAGTTGTCTTTTTTATTTTATTTTAATATGTCTTTATTGATTTCAGGGAGAGAGAGAGAAACATCAATGATGAGAGTCACTGATCGGCTGCCTCTTGCACGCCCTGGACTGGGGATTGAGCCGGTAACCTGGGCGGCATGTGCCCTGACTGGGAGTTGAGTCAAGCCTCCACCTCCTGGATCCTAGGTCAGTGCTCAGTGGCTGAGCCCCACCTGGCAAAGGGCAATTGTCTTAAAGGCAAAAGCCTGTTGTTTTATCTGCATGTCCTGGGCTATGGTCAGCACAGCTGTGGGTTTTGAAGCCGGGTTTGGAACCCTGAAGTACTAATGGATTCCTGATGTGCTTTGCTTTAAAAGAACGTGACACTGTACACAAGACTGTGCAAGCCATATAAATGCATGGTCACTTAACACCTAAAAATATTCTTGGCTTTATAAACAAATCTGTTTCAGGGTTCTTTTAGATAGTGCATTCCTATTGCGTACTTAAAATATTTGTTTTATTCAGATTTGTTCAGTGCACTAGTCAAAAGCATGAAATAATACCTTTCCTACCATACACTCCTTTCTGTCTCCATTCTTTCAGAATAATAGTTTCTATTCATTGAGTGTTTATGTGCCAGACACTATGAACCATTTAATTGGATTATTCAGTTCTCACAGTAACCTGGTAAAATAGAAACAATTATTTTATTTATAGAGGAAGAAAGGGGCTCAGAAATAATAAGCAATTTATCTAAAAGCACAGAGCTAGTAAGGGCAGAGCCAATTCCATGTCACTCCAAAAGCTAGTGCTTATCTATGTATTTCATTCATTCGTTCACTTAACAGATGTTTATTGAACACCTACTTTGTAGCAGTGTGTTGGGGATACAGTGATGGCCAAACAGACACAGACCCTGACCTCAAGTTGCTTATACTTATAACAAGGGAGATAGACAGTAAATAGAGAATCACAAACTAAATATTAATTACTGTGGCACATGCTATGGAGGATGGTAGAGGGTGCTATGAGAATATATAATAGGGTCGTTTGGCAGGGGGAGGGAGTGGGGAGATACAGGAAAGGCTTTTCTGAGTTAAAAACATTTAACTGAGACCTCAGGGACTGAGTTGGAGTTAAATTGGGCAAAGAAAAGGGTGGAGCCCCGCTGGGCATGGCTCAGAGGTTGAGCGTTGACCTAGGATCCAGGCAATCAGGGTTCAATTCCCGGTCAGGGCACATGCCTGGGTTGTGGGCTCGATCAATGACTCTCATCATTGATGTTTCTGT